GAGTAAGCCCCATCTAATTAGAATATAGCTTGATTATATAGAGGATTACAAAATTATCTATATATAACCAATTGGCGAGGTTAGTTGATTCTAAAGATGATATTAGTCAAAATTATTAGGTGTAGAAAGTTCGAGAAAAAGACAAAAACAATAGAAAATGACTGGAAGTAAGAAAAGTTTGGGAAAAGACAAAAAATAATAGACAGTGACCAGAACACCAAGAGCAAAAACAGGCAGTTAGACAGTAACAAACCCCAAAATAAGCTACACGGAAGGACAAACTTCTATCAACGGATGACAAGTATTGATAGTGTGTTAGTGAATTGAAGTGTTTTGAATAGAGTGATTGATGTGATTTTAATAAAGAGCATGAACAAGTAGCCAGAGGTACCAGAAGGACGTGTGTGACTAAGATGAACAAAAGAATGAGTGAAGTGACTGAATAAGCCTTCACCGAGACAAGTAATAACAATTTTCTTATAATAATAATAATAGGAAACAAGGACAAAGAGCCACCATCGTACAGGTGGAAGGTTTTAGAATTAATGAACGATATACAATAAAGGAGTTGGCTATTAAAGATTGTCGTTCGGGTAGGACTGACATCTATTGCTTCAGACCTCCATATCCTGAGGATTGCCTTAGTGATACTGATAAAAGACACATCTTGTGGTGTACTGTGTACCTCCACGGCCTCCGTTGGACTGATAGACTATTCCATATTGGACTTCTCACAGATCCGTCAGGGGATAAGGCAAAACTATGTAAAGGGAGAAGGCACAGCTGTTGCAGAGACAACTAGGTATCCCATGCCAAGATGTAGAAGAGTACGAGAGCCCACCACATAGACATCTGGACTGCAGTGAACAGATAACGTGTGATTATTACCATTACCCCCACGAAGATTGCGCATATTGGAAAGTGTGTGCTCTGTATGGATGGATAGCCACCAGCAATTGGCACGTGTTCCAGAACTTTAGAAACGATTTCTAGAGTGAATAAAAACTTGTATTTTGCTTTAATGTACCGTATATTATAGTGACTATAAATTGCTAGTTATGCTTATTAGGATAAATTTTTCTGTGTTTTATATATATACATGAATATGTAAGCATTGGCTGATAAAGAGAGATATAGATAGTGAGTTGGATGATAAATTATGTTAGTAGTAAAAAAATTTTTTTAAGGATGGAAGCAACTTGAAAATTGTCGAGGAAATTTTACAATTGCTTCAGAGTTGTAAATACATAGAATAAACCTTAAAGGTTTTTAGTATAAGCGAGCAGTCAAGGATATATAAAAAAGAGGTGACAAGAAGACGCCTGTATTACAAAATAAGCTTGTGAGATGAGCTCGAGAATTAGTAAACAAGGTCAGAAGCACAGTTACGTAAGAAACGTTGCCTGGAAACAAGATGAATGCACTAGTACTTATGACAAGTTGAAGGATTACTGACCTCAACCTCTTAGAACTTAGAAAGCTATAGAAAAGTTTGGTTTAGTGAATAATATCGGCACTTTGAGGTGATATTAGTTACAGCACGTGGGTGTAGCAGTACAAGTGAATAGGCAGCCGGCTAACACCACTTATCTATAACCAATTACTTGAGAGTTTTGGTTCTGGTTTCAAAGGGGTCGCAAGTGAAAAAAGTTTGAGAAGCCCTGCTATAGAGTGCCAGAAAAATGCAGGGTTGAACTAAAAGAATGCGTAAAAGAGATGCTTGAACAAGGAGTAATAGAGGACAGTAGTAGTCCGTACATATCTCCAGTTGCATTAGTTCCTAAGAAGGACGGAAAATTAAGGTTCTGTGTGGATTTTCAGAAAGTAAATGGAGTAACAGTCAAAGACATTTACCCATTACCTAATATCCAAGAAACCTTAGATAGGTTAGGTAATAGTAAATACTTTTGGTGGTTACGAGGTCAGTTGAATTGATTGATCCTATTTTGAGATAAGATAGAGAAAATAACAGATAAAGTATAAAGTTTTATGGAAAAAAGTTTGAAATGCATTTAGAAGGTTTTAGGGATTACACAAAAGAAATTTAAGGTTTTTGAAATTGGAAAAAGTTTTTAATTTTAAGATGAAAATTACTTTGCACACAGACTACTCAAAACAAATACTCAATTTATTCATGGACAAATCTTTATTTTCTTTTTTTAAGTACTTCACTGAAAAATATGATTTTTGTATGTAAAAGACTTATAATATTAACTGAAATTGCCAAATTTTGTGAAGATATATATATACATTATATTGAAAGTAAGAAGTACTGAATCTTTAAAGACTTTAAACGAGTACAAAGAGGTCATGTGGTCGGTCAGATTGACTGAGCCCATGTTGAGAGTTAAAGAAAGTAAATGGCTATAAACCTTGTCAATATGAATGTGTAACTGACAAAGCAAAAGAACATGATAAAAATAAGAACATACATGAAAAAAACTGATAACTCAAGTGAATCTGACATATCTTTTGTGAAGCACTTGAAAATAAACAAATGCTTCAACTAAGCTTTCTCACAAGCTTAACTGCCCCCTTAAAATAAACACATGCTTTGACTAAGCTTTTTAATAGTTTTGCTAATAGGTATACTGTTGCATAAAACCAGAAAAAATCATCTTGATCTGTGGAAAATGTTGAAATTGAATGGATTATTAATATTCAGTAAAAAAAGAAAGCATATCCAACATGCAAAGTAATTTTCATTTTCAGATTAAAAATACTTTTGTGCATCAGAACATTTTCAAATTTCACATGCCTTTGACCTGTGACCCATGTGAAAAGGGTTAAAGCAGAATGTTTTGGATTTTGGAAGAATTAATTAGCAAGCCTTTTTTTTGACAAAGCTTTCATGGTTATTCTTTAAACTTGTAACACACATTATTTTATACATAACTGTTGATTAATAGTTGCAAGATTTTGAGATTATATTATTGAAATTTTCTTTGATGTATTTCAATCTATACTTTCTGTTAAGATACCGACTGTTTCTTAATCAAATGAATAAATATACCACTGTAAGTTCAGTTTTGAGCCTTTTGATATATGTAGAATTGTCTAACATATAACAATTTTACAACTAGCTGATAAAAGCCAAAATACTAAAATGAACAAATAAAGAAAATACAGTAATTATTTACCAACAGCAAACAAAGGGGCATTTTTACCAACTGAAAAGTGTTATACAGTCTGGATTCCATACACTTTTTTTCTATATTAGAAACAGTTAGAAGCCCTCATGGATCCAGTTACACAAATAAATGCACTTGGCTCCTGGAATACTAAAATGGAGAATCATCCTACCAATTAATTCCACTTTTATAACAATACTAAATGAATTTTATGAAAACAAATTTTACAGTGGTAACTGAACGTATAATTGTCTCCAATTCCAAAAAGAATCTGATAGCATACTATTAATATATACAAGTTTTCCCAGAAAGTAAAACAAATACATTTCTATTTTTATCATTAACTGCAGTTGATGAGAATAGTCTGAGAAATACATGTAAAATTACCCATTAAAACCTTTTTTTCACTTTGCAAAGTTCACAATGATCACAATTTACCTTATAAATTGACAACTTTTTCTCAGAAAAACCTGAAATAAAAATTAAAACAAAAAATACAGATTTGTCTTTCTTTTTAATGGGCATAACGCATTTTAAGAACACAAGTTTTTAAAAACATCAGTATAAATGCTCAATATTTTTGTGTAAATTTTTATTCAAAAACAGCATCTTTAGTGAAAAAATACAGAAACCTACTTTTATTATGCATTGTGGATTTCATTTTTGAGAAAATAAATAGTAATTGGTTTCATGTTTAAACATAAGTAAAACATCACTAAAGTATCTGTAGAAAAAAAATAATTTAAATCACAAATGTTATGACTGTTCTCATTCCAAATATATCTAAGGTGACATTCCAGATAAGTTGTGTGCTAAACAGTTTTGATACGAGTTCACTCTAGGCATGCCTTCTGTCAAATTTCATCTACATTAAAGTTTTTCTTATTTCAAAATATGAAATTTTTCTACTTCAAGCTTAAAAACTGTTTCATAACATATGATTAACCATACCTCCATATAGCTAATTACAAAACCAGGAAATAAGATGTACACAATGAACATTTAAAAAGTTATATAAGAAAACAGCATTAACTTATTCTTTACTGTCATGCATGAACTGTATTCAAGAATAAACTCACATAAAACAGAGTAATAGCAATCAAAAGGTGTGAAAAAGAACAAAATGAAACTTAACTGAAAGTCTCTCCTGTCTATGAAGTTCTGTTACGAGATAAATTTCCCTTCTTTCTGTGCATTTTCAAACTTAATTGATAGTTCATTTTAACATTTGGTTTGGCCTTTACATAATGTAAAGCTGTCGGTCAAATAAAACACAATCATTAAGCACACGTACAAATGTATAACTAAAAGATTTTTCTTTTTCTACATTTTTCTGCATTATGTGCTTTTGACAACTATATAATTTTTTAAGATCTGTCTATCTTACTGACAGTTGTTACAAAAGTCATTCCTACTTTTATACAAGTTTATGCACTGATACTTTGAAACCATAATTTTATCTTTCACCCAATGCTTGTGTACAATTTAAAGAAACAATAAGTAATTAATATCTTAAATTAGATCAGCAAATTAAAATATAAATTTCTCCTCTATCCTACAATTTAACTTTAAAGAAAAAGGATAATGCAGAATACTTAACAGCATGCTACTGATGCAACTGTTAACAGGTCCAGGAGTCTTGACATCTATGTTGTCATAACATTCTGTTAGCTAGATGACTGGTCACCAACTCTGGTACTTGGTGTTGATCGTTTCAACGAATCAAGATACTCTTGTTGAGACTGAGCTAAAACTTTTGCAAGAATGTCTGTGTCTTCCAACTCTGTCAAACCTGCAGAAAATAAATGTTAATCACAAATTTTTTTTTCTTTCTTTCTTTAAATGAAACTACATACTAAATACAACTAGAGTAAATTACAAATGTTTTACTGTGACTATTAACTCTCTCGATAGCGTAATGTGAGCTACACGTTCCCCGAGTGATTTACATTTTATAATGGTGCAGATAGCAGTTAGACACGGTTCAAATGGCAATAAAACAATAAAATGTAATTATAAATAGATGTATCATGTTACAAACTTAGAGCTATTTAGGATAAACAAATGTAGTTTCATGTTACAATTTGAAATCATTCTAGAAAGAAAAGAAGGTTAATTTAGGTTTATTTTGATTTTTTTTTTCGGTGGTTACAAAGCCGGTCGATTTGACTGATCCCGTTTTGAGATAAGGTAAAGAAAATGACATATAAACTATA